CCACCATTGCCCACCCACCGCCGCCCCACCCCCGACCGCCGACAGCCCCATAATCACCGCCTCCATCCCCGACCGCCGCCAACCCCATCATCACCATCAGTCACACAATCGTCCCAACCCACCACCATCACCATCTCTAGGAGAAAGAGAAAAAAAGAAGGGGGAGAAAGATGAGAAGAAGATTAAGCATAGATCTAACACAGATCTACCGTAGATCCTCTGCCAACTCAGCTCCCACCACCGATGTTTGGTTCATCATCGCCATCTAGTCCATCCACCATCACCTCAGCCTCATAGATCTAGCAGAGTATAAAAGAAAAAGAAGAAGAACAGGGGGGAAAGAAAAGAAGAAGACGTATGAAAAGAAGAGAGGGGGGAGAAAGAAGATTGAGGATGAAAAAAAGAAAAAGAAGCGAAGAAGAAGAATCGGAAGAAGAGGAGAAGAAGAATCAGAAGAGGAAGAGAAGAAGAATCGGCCGAGGAGGAGGAGAAAAAGAAGAGGGGAATTGGGGAAGCGAGAGAGAGGGGGCTTTGGCCGAGAAAAAGGGGAGAGAAAGCAAAAAAAGAAAATGAGATTTAACAATAGGGGTAATTTAGGAAGAATTGGGATGAAAAAGTAGAATGAGAAGATTATTTTCAGACGAAAAAAAACGTAGAATAGGAAGTTTATTCCCGGACGGAGGGAGTAACATTTTGATACACAAAATAAATTTGTAGACACATAAAAATATGTGCAACATATAAAAATATATGTATATGTGTGCTGTGTATATATTTTTATCATATGAAGTTATCACAAAATATCATAAATCATGAAAAAAGGAAAATAATTATCCCATGACAAATTATAATTGATTTAATAATAGTTTGACTTTAATCTAATTTAAAATTAAAGTATTGTTAATTTAATTTTAAAAATTGGAAGAGGATACATATATATCCGATATCCGACCGATATCCGACGCATGCAGATACGGTTTTGATTTTCAGTATCCGTCAAGATCCGTACCCGAATTTGATATCCGGCACAAATAAATGGATACGGATTTGGTAATGATACATCGGAACCGATTAATATCCGTTTACACCCCTACTACAGGTTATGCCTAATATAATTATAGCCCGGTTCCATGGCCTTTGAATTTCAATGGCCACGGAAGCCACTACCCCTAACGGAGTTCCGTTCATAAAATTTATGATTTCTACCCCTTAACCCCCAGTAACCCCCCCCCCCAAGTCCCAACCCAAACTAATCACCTCACCTACGTCAATTGCACCTCGTAAGTATAATTGACTTTAAAGTTAAAACTTTTGGCTTTATACTTACGGGGTGCAATTGACGTAGGTGAAGTGATTAGTTTGGATCGGGACTTGGTGGAGAGAGGGAGGGTTTACCGGGGATTAGGGGGGTAGGAATAATCAATTTTATGAATATAGCTCCGTAGGGAGGAAGTGGCTTCCATTGCCATGGAACCAGGCTCATATAATTATTATGAAAAAGCTAGGGGTACACTATTTGGGGTACCCCATTTGTACCCCCTCCATCTCCACCACACAAAAGCAAGAGAGGAAAAAGAATTTAAAAATGAAAAAACAAATGGATGGTTGAGATTGATGGTGTACAAATGGGGTATCCCAAATGGTGACCCCTAGCATTCCTCAATTATTATTACTGTATCTTGATTTTCATGGATGCACCTTTATTACCTTCACGTCATCATTATTTTTTTTACTCCGTATTCTATACTCCCTCTGTCACTGAGTATTTGTCCACTTTTGATTTTTTAATCAAAATTGGTAAACTTTGACTTCAAATTAAATAAAAATGAAATTAGGTATTGATACAAAAATAGTCTTATTATATTTATTATATCAAATATTTTCAAAATATTATTTTATCTAATTAATATACAATACCCCGGAGTATATATTTTATTTAATTATAGGTCAAAGGTTGAAAACCGTTGACTGAAAAAAGTCAAAACTAAACAAATACACATGGACAGATGTAGTAAAACAAATAATTCTTTTTATTAATAAATAAATTAATTAAATAATAAAAATCATATTCTGGAATGCCACGTCAGTCGGATGTATGGGGGACACCGCCCCCTCGCTAGTGATCGATGGCTGGATTTCCTACCTAGGCAATCCAGAAAAAGTGAAAACTCATTCTCCTCCTCATTTTTGTTTACTTACTCCGTATTAGTTTTACTCCCTCCGAAATGACCCGCTAAAAATGGGTCAAACCCGACCGAACTCAAACCCGATCAGATCGACCAGTTAATCCAAGATTTTTTTAGAATCATATATTTTAATATGAAATATAGTGTTATAAAAATAAGATTATAATTATATTTGTTCGCTTACTACTTAATTTTTGTGTATAGATTTATATCATCATAACAAATTTTAATAATGTCACATAATTATCTTACATTTTTTAAAAATTTCTATATATTTAATTTTTTTATTCATAATATTGACACTAAGTCATAGAAATTATTTAAAATTTCAAAAAAAAAAAGAAACTCATAACCCGTTGGGTCAATCTGAACCCGATGACACTGCGTCATGACCATGTAGTTATTAATCCGAATTTGAACTTATCTGAACCCGAAGTAACCCAAACTCAAGGTGACCAAATCTGAATCCAACCTGACCGACCGGTTTGCCAGGTCTACTCGATATATCAGACAAATAAAAAATGATTCGAAAAGGGGCCTTTTCGTTTAACATGCTAATAACTTCCAAAATTCTATGATTTCTTTTTTTGATAATTCTTTCTTTTCTTAATATGTTAAATATGTTTTTTCATGCATAAAAAATCCCCTTCAATTTTCAGGCATTAAGTATGGATTTTATAAAGTTAATTTCTTTTTTTAAATAGTTAAAACTGTATCATTTATATACACAATACTTTCCTTTTATAAAACCATATTATTTATATACACCGAATTAAATTATATATGAATTTTATAACGTATTTTCCTTTTATAGAATGAAATAAAACCATATTTGCATGTTGCTTAATTATAATTACCGTAGATTAAAAATGTAGATCAAAATCGATGGTCCATAAACGATAATGTTTGGGTAATCGATGGTCCATAAACGATAATGTTTGGGTGGGAAAAAGCATGACGCATAATTCCCCTGCTTTTAAATAGGATGGTTTTGATTAACATTTTGTTTTTTCCAACTCTCTTAAAAATCATAAAAATTCCAAACAAGAACATCTTAGAAGATGAAGGGACTAAAATTCTTTTAACTTCTTATTTTGTAAACTTTTTGATCTAGTTTTTAAATATGTATTTTTTATTTTTTATTTTTATGTTAATTTTTAAATAAAATGAATTAAAAATTTGATTTTTTTGTTTTGCGTAATATGTAATCTACTCCGTATTAAAGAAGAAAGGAAGTACTATCTCTGTCCTAGTGTATTCATCTAGTTTGACTTTTTCGAGTCAAACTGGACAAATTTTAAACCTTAATTAAATAAAAATGGTAATGTATTTTTGTATAAATTTTATTTTAATATATTTATCTTGTTGAGAACTCTAAAAAAGTTAATTTATTGTATTGATATGCAACATAAATTAAGACTGATTGATATTTAAAGTTCGTCTACATTAATTTAAAAAAATCAAACTTGACGAATATACTGAAACGAGATACACTCCAAGAAGCCACACTATTAGATTATCTCCAATCGTGGAAGTACAATTGTATGTAAATAAGAGATTGTAGAATTAGGTGAGCTAAAACAACCCCAATGGAGTTGCTAAAAAATTGAATGCTAAAACTAATTTTAGAACTTCAATCATTCCATTTATATGGTGTAATACATGCACACATGAAATGTATACACTCGATAATATATTAATAATAAAAAATAACAACACAAGAAGTAGTAGAAAATAACATTTCCTTTTCATCAATTATTATCACCAGTGAATTTCGTTGGTACGCCTGAAATTTGAGTGAATTTCAACGGTACCTGAGAAAATTCACATGCTGTGTAAAATATTTACCAGCTATATATCAAACTATTAACAAAAGAGTAAAAATTCTATCCCAGTTAAATATATATCTGATCAGCCAAACACACAAGAACAGAGAACCCAACAGAGCTTTATAATTTCCTCCATGATCTACAAGAGTTGCTCAAGCTTCCATGATTCTTCATCTGTTATGATTAAAGGGGTATTAGTGTCATTGTTGTTGTTGAACAGTGAATCCAAAGTAGTAGTGTTGAGGAAGTCATCTTCTTCCCAGAATCCCATGTTGTTGAAGATGCTGCTGTCACATTCCCAGTCATCAAACACATTGTTTATGCTGCTGGTGTGGTTATTAAGGTTAGATGAGATGAACCCGTCGTAGGACGCGGAGGACGATGGGGTTGAAGCAATCGAATTCTGGATGGTTGACCCGTCGTTTGACCGGTTTCCGGGTGGTTCTGTTTTCTGATTTTCTTTTTCCTTTTCTTTTTCTTTTTCCTCGTCATCGTCCCTGGGAGGGACGAGTGGCTTGTGGGTGATGGGATCATCCCCCATTTTCCTGAGCTTTTTCTTGATGTGGGTGTTCCAGAGGTTCTTGATTTCATTGTCTGTTCTCCCTGGCAAATGAGAGGCTATCTTTGACCATCTGCAATTCATTTCACACAAATCATTTAATTTTCTCACTCACACACTGCACTTCCACAACATGGTATGGCTAGGAAATTGGAGTGGGTGGTGGTGGGTGGACAGAGACTGAAATCCCTCTGATTGATTGGATTTTTGTCAAAGAATTTGTCTGTGAGTTGGGGTAGTTGTAAGGGGCAACCTTAAAGTGAAAACAAAAAAAGAGGAATTTGGTGCAGAAAATTCAAATCATGGGTTGCCAAAATTGAGTTGAATTTAGAAAGTTGTCTGCCACTCCAAGTTGAAGAAATCAAGTACTCCTCCAAAGTTTTTTTTTTCTTTTTTTAATCTATATTTAGAGCAACTTCACACACACAAAAAAAACAAGAAAAAAAAAGTGGAAGAAAATAAAATACAGCACTTGTTTCCAAGCTGAGCATGGAGATCAATGACCATCTTTTCCTCAGACTCTGAGAGCAGGCCCCTCTTCAAGTCTGGTCTTAGGTAATTTATCCATCTCAACCTGCAGCTCTTCCCACACCGCAACAGCCCTGAAATTTTCACAAAGACCTAATAAACGACACGCCATACCAATGAAAATAATGCACCTATACAGACGACCTAGCCGTTATTACGGCAGACTATTAGAATATAAAAATCTTTCGTTCTGGGTTTAAAATTAAAATTCTAAAGAAGCTAAGTTAAAAGTGACCTGCAAGTTTAGGGACAGCCCTCCAGCAGCATTGGCCATTGTTGAGGATGAAGATCATGAGCTTCTTGTCCTCTTCGGCAGTCCATGGCCCTTTCTTTAACCCTGTCTTGTCACAGCATGGTTGCCTTCCCATCTCAATCTCCCAAATGTTTTATATATTTTCTTTATTTATTTAGATTTTGTTATATAAATATATGGATGGATAGACAGAGAGAATGGTTTAGAGATCACTGTGAGTTTGGGGTTAAATGGAGAGTGAAGGTTAGCTAGGCTAGGCTAGGCTGCATATGTATATGTATATATATACAACCATGCTAGGGGTACACCAATAATGTACCCCAATTTATACCCAAAAAAATGCACCGACATTTTAACAGTTCACACGGGCAAAAATTGTTAGTTCAATTAAAAAAATTTACACTGACATTTTTTGCCAATGTAAATCTTCACGCTAGCACAAAATGCCAGTGCATGTCTTTGGAATGCAAAATAAAGTACAAATTTTAGTGTACAAATAGCCTAATCATATACGGAGTACATATGTGAGCAGCCATGGATCTCCCCCGTGCACTCGGCCTCTCCCTGGTCCCACCTCCACCATGCCTAAAAGTAAACACGGCATTACTGGTTTTTATTTTGTTTTGTTTTTTCTAATGAGTATGTTATGAGTGCGTCATCTTTGAATCTATGATAACATCATACTTAGTACTCGCTCAAAAAATGTTCCTGTTTCATTTTTTGTATATCATAAAACAATTCTTTCACGTCTCAAGTGTCTGAAATACCTTCAAAATAGTTTCTGCCCGCAATAAAGGAGAATGGAGTGAATTTTGGACATTATATATATGAGGCTAGAAGTGTTTTGTAGGATGCGCAAAAACAGAAACATGAATATCTTTTTGGGACGGAGGGAATACATAGATTTCTCATCAATTCGTTTTGTACATGAGAAATTCAACTATACATCTTATGAAAAGATCTGATTTTATTCAGTTTAACTATGTCAAGGAACAATTGGATTAATGAGAAATCTAACGATATATCTTATGACACGAAAATAACTTTATTGTTGAAAAAATCCAACGGTACATTTTATGTTAAAAATCAAGTTACGAATCCAAAGTTGAAAGTATTTTAGTGGTATAAAAAGTGAGAAATAAGGTCAAACTAGGTGGAAAATAATTTGAAAAAAAAAAGAATGATACGAATGAATTATATATAACACCATTATTAACACCGTAGCTTCTTTGAAAAGTAATTTCTATCCATCATTTTATCCATTTATTTTTTCAAATAATTGTCCAACCAGTTCAGTTTTAATTTATTTTTTCTACTTTTTATACTTCATAATTGTCATAACTTTAAATTCGTAGTTCAAATCCTTCATAAAATATACCATTGGATTTCTTTCTTCAAAATTAAACCTATCAAATGAATATAATTTTAAGTATGAAATATCAACTTCAAAATTTTCTTAATTTTTTGAAACAACATTTGTAATTTATCTGTTTAAAAAATATATATATGCATTTCCAATTTTAGTTTAATCAAATTTTTAGTTATTTCTTTTAAAAACCGAGGGGAAGGGGTGTTAGTTATAACACATTACATGTATTTTATTTATTTTTTATTAGTTGCCAACTCGTACTTATTAATTAAATAGTCGTCATTTAAAATGTCATGCATGCAGTTGAGTTGACAGTGCTAATTAATAATGTAAAACTACATCTTTTTTTTAAAGAGTGATATCAATTATTGAATTTTGAAATATTAACGTGAAATCGGCTAATTCTTGGGGATTCATGCAACTTTTTCTTATTTTCTTTTAGATTCAATTTGGCTTTTAAAAATTGCAACTTCAATTCAATTTAGTCATTATCAAGAATAATTCACTCAAGGCATTAAATTCAAAAAGTTTACCTAAATAGGACGAAAAGCATTAAAATTATATCAAATTTGTTATCCGCTTCATAGAAGCATAAGTACTGTGCATAGGGCTATAAGTGGACTACAAAAAATTCATCTACTATCCGCATCTATATCCGTTTACATAGAAAATATCCGCACTGATTTAAAATGATTATTATTCGTATCAGACTAAGAACATCCGATTAGTAAACGGATACAGATTTGGTAATCATAAATCTAATCCGTTTATAATCCACTCCGTATATAAATTCGTTTGAGTAACAATTTATTCGTATATCCGGTCGTTATATATAGGTTTTCCCAAGTTTTTATTTTTATGTTTTGTTTTTCTATTAACATATCTCTCCCTTAATTTCAACTTTAGTCAAAATGTGTAAATCTTTTTGGGACGGAGGTAGTAACATCCATTGATTCTTTATCTTTTACTCCCTCCGTCCCGTGAAACATGGGAATTTTGTTTTTTGGGAGAGATTTAAGGGGAGTGTATTTTGGTATTAAATTTCCAAAAATGTCCTTTGATGTGATGGGTAAAAGTATGATTTGATGGATAGATTATTAGTAAAAAGATATGATGTGATAGTTAGGGTATGAAAAAGTAAGGGGTAAAAGTGACTTTTTAATAGAAATGAGAAGTGTTTTGTGGGACGGATAAAAAAGAAAGGAGAAAGGTTTTATAGGACGGAGGGAGTATGATATACTCCGTAATAAAAAATTATGTTACATAATAAAATTAGTGAAACATAAATATGATATTGTATGCAATAAAATTATTAATGGAAAAACGAAAATTAATGTTGGGTTATGATATAATGATTAATTATATTATTATAACAAATTGGTGATTAATAAATATGGTACCATCACTTACTATTTCTACCTTAGCATTCTCTAATAACCAAATTATTTCATTTGTTAATATAATATTAATCCATTTTTAATTTTAAGAAGATGTAAATAATTTTTAAATCACTTTTGGAAGAAATAAAAAAAATTCAAAAAGCTTGAAGGAGTCGAAAGAAAGGTGAAGAACTTTGAAAAGTTTGGAGGAAGAAATTAGGATTGAAAGTTAAGAAATAGAAAAGGTTGGAAAATATATATTTGATACTCCGTAATACTCCGTAGATAACTAAATACATATGAAAACATGTGGTTTTAAAATAGTTTAAAAAATCATCAATTATATAATTCACTCATTTCTTCAATAACTCCCCGCTAAACAAGCATATATATCAAGAATATTTTTTCAACAATTAATTAATTACTAGACCATGCAAAAAATTAATGTGTGATAAAAAATAAATCTGCAGTATGGTATGCGTGATGTGTCATCAGATTGTTGATTAGCTGAAAACATCGCTATATTTCTATTAAACGCGCCATACATGATTCCATGCATTTAACTAAATTCTTCGCATTAATTAATCTTTGAAAGTATTCAAAGTGTCCATGCATTCCCATTGTTCTACTAGTTTTATCTCATACTTTATAAAAAAATAAAAATAAAAGTAAATTCTATAATTGGTCCTTTATAATTACAGGGAGATTTTCCTATTTAGTCCTCTATTATCAAATATTACATCAATGGTCCTTCTTTTATGGGTACCTTTCCACAAATAGTCCTTTTTTTATCTTCTATCATGTTGGTGTTAATTTGAGGGCTAAAAGTGTAATTTCACAATGATAATATATCTTTTTTGTCATACACAATTCCAAAGGCTATTCTGTTTGTGTCGTTTGTGAATTACAGTCGCTTTTTACGACAACTATAGTCTACAAATGTGATCTTTCGTCAGAATCCTAGCCACAATCATAATCATTATTTTTGTGTTATCCGCTTAACCAATATCAGAACACGTCACTAGACATAATGTTGATGTCAAATTATACTTTTAGCCTTTAAATTAACACCAACACAGCAGAAGATCAAAAAAGGATCATTTGTGGAAGGGTACCCTTAAAAAAGGACTATGGGGGTAATATTTGATAATAGAGGACTAAATATGGAAACCCCCCTGTTATAAAGGACCAATTATGGAATTTACTCTAAAAAAAAATTACTCCCAAAGACTTGGTGGTTCAGCAGCATCACATTGTATTTCTCTTTAATGAGAGATCATGCGTTCGAATCGTAGTGGGGGCACTAACGCTATATACTTTAATAGTTTAATAGGTTAAGATTATATTGCATAAATAAATACAGAACACAATATTATATACTACGTAATAAAGTTATTAGTGTTAAAAAAGTATTACCTCCCTAAAAACTTTCTAAGGGGTATGGCATGTAGGCATGCTTCACGGATAACTAGTTGTAGACTTTTTGACGAACAACTATACAAATGAAGTTGAGCAAAACTTGTTCTAATGCAAGAAAGTTAATTAGTTTAATCCGAGATCTCAAAAAACTATTCCCTTCTTTTTGATATTTCGATGTGAGACTAGATATTTCTTCAGACATCTCATATTTAGGTTTCTGATACGTTCTTGTATCGGTTGGGAGAGACTTCGAGCGCCTCCGGGCTCCGGAAAGTTGAGACGAAGAAGAGAAGAATAGGCGCACCAGATGCGCCGCAAGAGAGGTAAAGAAGATAGACTAATTAGGGTTTTTGATTATTCTCCAATAGTAATCCCGATGGGTACATCTCCTCTTATAGTTGAAACCCTAACCCTAATCTACTTGTCGGTTCAATAAAGGCGTCAAGGGAAAGAACCGAAAAGAAAACCCTTGAAGGAGCTTATAGACCGCTCTCCTAAGAAAATCTATTACAATTATTAAATAAAACAATAATAATGAAAGTAATAGAAGTACTACTAAAAATAACTACGTGTCGTAGTCCGCATGCCATGCCGGTGGTCGTCTCGTTCTTGTGCCCCTACGCACCGGACTCCCTGCGTCCCCCGGCTGCCCATCGTCACTGTCCCGTGTTGGTTCCCCACATTCATTCTCTACTGCTCCGTCATCCCCCAGTGGAGTACTCGTAACATTCCCCCCTTGTTCAAAAGGCACCTTGTCCTCAAGGTGCATATCAGGATAATGCCGTCGAAGAGCATCCACCGGCTCCCAAGTAGCGTCATGCAAGCCACCATCCGTCCACTCAACCAGTACCTGCTGCTCTGGGACTCCATTAACCAGGGTGGTCTGCCATGCATGTGCTTTGAGTGGTCGAGACGGGGGCCGACCATCCACCAAATCCACCGGCAGCGGAAGGGGTGTTACTGTAGGCGAATCTCCGCGATAGGGGCGGAGGAGTGAGACATGGAATACCGGGTGGATTTTGGAATTGGCGGGCAGGTCTAACCGGTAGGCGACTGACCCAATGCGTTCAAGAATCTGGTACGGCCCGTAAAATCTGCGTGCAAGCTTTTGGGAACCCCGGCGTACCACTGAATGCTGTCTGTAGGGCTGCAATTTCAACAAAACCCAGTCCCCGACGTGAAATTGAACGTCCCGACGGTGGGGGTTGGCCGCTGCTTGCATACGTGCTTGTGCAGCCTGAAGGTTCTCCCACAGCCGGTGTAACAGCGCTGTCCGTTCGGTTAGGAGTTCATCAACAGCCGGAACCGCACACTCCCCGCTAGAATATGGCAGAATTGAAGGCGGTGCACGGCCATATAAGGCCTGGAACGGAGTCATACGCAGGCCCGAATGGTAGCTTGTATTAATGGCGAATTCGGCCCAAGGCAATAGCATCAACCACCGTTTGGGTTTCTCCAGGACATAAGCGCGTAGATATTGTTCCACGCCGCGGTTCATGACTTCGGTCTGGCCATCGGTTTGCGGGTGGAATGCTGTGCTAATATGTAAAGTCGTGCCACTAAGACGAAGGGCCTGCTGCCAAAAATTACTCATAAAAATCCGATCACGATCCGACACAATGGATTTAGGAAAACCATGAAGCTTGACCACCATGTCCACGAAGAGCTGTGCTACCTTCGGTGCATCGTAAGTGGCCGGTAAAGGGCCCAGATGTATGTACTTAGACAACCGGTCAACAACCACCAAAATTACGGAATACCCTTGCACGGATGGAAGGCCCGTAATAAAATCCATTGATACGTCGTCCCAAACTTGAAGTGGTATCTTCAAGGGCTGCAATAAGCCCGCAGGGGGCTGAGTAGAGTACTTGGTTGCTTGGCAGGGGAGACACGCGTCAATATGGTGTTGGACGTCCCGTCGCATGCCGGCCCAAAAGAAATTCTGTGCGAGGCGGTAAAACGTGCGTTGCACACCGGGGTGGCCTGCCAATGGTGAGTCATGGTATTCCCGCAAGAGTTGTTTGCGTATGGGAGAGTCCTTACCAATGCAGATCCGGCGAAGGAAGTATAGGATACCATCCGTAATTGAGTAGTCTGGCGGCAAACGACCTTTGGTGGCGGCCTGATGTAAGTGGCGGAGATCATTTTGTGATTGGTTCTCACGGAGGATGTCTTCCATAAGAGAGGGTAAGGGGTGTGAAAGACTACAAAAGTTCGCCGTTGTGTCCTCCGACTCCTCCCGTCGGGAGAGAGCATCCGCAACTCGGTTTGATGCTCCCGTTTTATACTCAATGCGGAACTGAAACCCCATCAATTTACGGATGTAATATTGCTGATCCGGCGTCTGAACCACTTGATGTAGTAGCTCACGCAGGCTACGTTGGTCCGTTCGTATCAAGAATTTACGGCCCAACAAATATTGCCGCCACTTTTGTACGGACTCTACAATGGCTACGAGTTCCTTGTGTTATGTTGATGCCGCCCGTTTTCTTGGCCCCAATTTTTTGCTAAAATAAGCGATAGGTTGCTCGTGTTGTAGGAGAACTGCACCGATACCCGTTGCACACGCGTCTGTCTCAATAACAAAAGTAGAGGAGAAGTCTGGCAACCGCAACACCGGAGCCGAGCTCATGGCTGCCTTGAGCTCCTGGAAGGCAGTGGCAGCCGCGGGTGTCCAGTGGAAGGCATCCTTCTTCAGCATATCAGTCAGCGGGGCTGCGATGTGAGAATAATTTCGAACAAATCGGCGATAATAGCCCGTAAGGCCCAAGAAACCCCGCAGCTGCCGAAGTGTTGTTGGAGTCGGCCAGTTGATCATGGCTGCAATCTTGTCGGTGTCAACGTGCAATTGGCCTGCAGAAATCAGGTGCCCCAAGTAAAAGATGGA